TACCGGTGATCAAAAAATCAAACTTGCAGATAGTAGCCTTAACTGATTTTCCTTTTTCCAAATCACTCTTCCTCTTTGTATTCTTACATTTGCTCAGATTCTGCTACGTCAAACAGCCGGGGTTTGTGTTTGTGCAACTTCTTCAACTTGTATTTGAATTTGTATCATTGTATTTTCAGGCCTTTGAGTTGGCGACAGGAGATTACCTTTTTGAACCGCATTCTGGTGAAGACTACTCCAGAGACGAAGGTGAGTGGGACAGAAACTGAACTGTTGTTTAAAAGTGACACATTCCCATAATTAAGAACAAATCAAAAAGGAATGAAAAGGAAAACAACTGCAAAAGTGTTTACTATTCACTGCTTATTCCATGAAATTCAGTTTATTGAGATGAAATTTAAAGTTGTAAAATTGCTTTTAAATGCTAAAATTTTACAGCCAAGGCTTTATACTGTTGACACAAAAGTATCAAACGAGTAACAGTATAATGAAAGTCTAATAAATAAAATATAAATGACACAATACAGGGCATGATGAATCTTTAGTATCTATGAGGTGATATGTTAATTAGTCCACATAATGCAGTTCAGTCTAGTTGTAAGGAGCAGAAAAAGCCTAAAAAGTACAACTGCTTTGAAAAAGATTTGAAAAGTCATTTAAACCTCGTGTGTTGTTGTTTTCAGACCACATCGCTCTGATCATCGAGCTGCTGGGTAAAGTCCCTCGGAAACTCATCACGACGGGGAAATACACAAAGGAATTCTTCACAAAAAAAGGTGAATATTGAGAGCAGCTGTGAGCTTCATTATCACCTCTGCCTCTGACTGTGGCAGGGACCCGCAGCTCAAAGATCCTATTTTAGGTCCAGCATCTGAATGCACTGAGGGAGACCATCTGCTCAGAGTCACACACGACCTACACACACATCTGAGCGGGGCAGGTGCGGGTGCAGGTGCAGGGGGGTTTACTGTTGTAGGGCAAGTGTAGAAAAAGGAACAATATATTGAAAATCATTTCAATATGGTTAAAAATAAGGATTAAATAAGATCACATGCATCTGATTTGAGCTCGTAGCTTGAGTTTGTACCAAGAACTGTCTTTCCACTGTCCACAGATGTCCAAGATATTTCTGTTTTACATCTACTCCCCTCATTCTATACTAAGAGTTGAGCATCTGTTTACATGTTGCTTTGATGGAGCAGGAGAGGACTTTCAGAATGATGAAAAGTTAGGACCATTGCCATAGAAATGAGGCTGGGTTCCCACAGTCATGGAAATCCAGGAAAAGTAATCGGAAATGCAAATGGACTTTTAGTATCTCTTTCCAGCATGATAATATTATGATTGATTATATTATTAATTCTGAACATTTTGCACCTTTTATTTTAAAGAGATTACAATAAATGCACTGACAGGATTCTGAATGTTCAAAAACTATAATCCCAAACCATAAGGTGAGTGGAAAGAGTTAACATTTCATATTTAGCCCTAAAAGTCTGATCCAGTCTACACATGTAGGTGCTGTAAACTCATGGACAATTCACTTTAGGTCATTAAAAAGTTATGGAAAAGTTTTGAAATTTTGTTAGTGAAAAAAAAGTGGGAACCTTGATTAGGCAGCACAGTGATGCAGCGTTTAGCACTCTTTCATCACAGCAAGAAAAAAAACATGTACAAAACAGATTCTTAATGTCAATGATAGAATTTCATTCTATCTTTTGTTACCTGGTCCCCGAAGGGTTGACCAGGTTTTGTTTTCACCCTCTGTGTCTCTGTGTGTGTCCACCCGCGATAATTCCGCCATTTATTGACCGACTGTCACCAAATTTTGTACGTGGGTCAAGTCCCTGTGCTCAATGCCACAAATAAGGTTTGGTGACAATCCGAGCTCATTTGAGGTCACACGGGTCAATTGAAAGGTCACGCCATTATAAAGGATTCAGTAATTTCGGCAAATTCTGAACCACACACACATAACCGGGGCACACTGGATGTTACAGGTTCAAACCGGTCAAGGTAACCAAGGTCAAATATGCGTTTTTGGTCATAACTCCGCGAAGGATGGAGCTAGAGCAACGGGAGTGTCTCAAAATCTCAGAAAAATTATGATCTATTTATAATTCTATGCAGTTGTATAGTAAAATATTAATAGTTTTTTTAAATAATCACTAATTATAACAGTTCCTTTCTCTTTCAGTGTATGCCGTTAAAATTCTAATTGGAACAAAAATAATTTCCACACACACACACACTGATCTACAGTCACACAACTAACATATACACAACTCATGAAAAATTACATTTTGGTTCCACACTAGTAAACACACACATTCTCATGTGTGACCAATATCACACAAATGTTCATGGGCCTGTACACATACACACATTACATTGTGGATATAATGATCATGTAATATGAGCTGGGCTCCTCATAAACTGCTTCTGTGGTGATGAACTGACCCCACGATGCCTCATGGGGACCAGGGTGATATCTCTGATTGTGCTTGTTTTTACACTAGAATGATCTGTTTTCTGTGTAATCATATCCCAGACTGATAGTTTGTTGAAAATACATGACATGTTTGCTTTGTTTTCACACATTTCACTCATGTTTTTAGGCGATCTGCGACACATCACGAAGCTGAAGCCGTGGGGTCTGAGCGACGTCCTGATGGATAAGTACGAGTGGAGCAAAGAGGAGGCTCAGTCCTTCAGCAGCTTCCTCCTGCCCATGTTAGACCTGGTACCAGAGAGGAGAGCCAGTGCTGCCCAGTGTCTGTGCCACCCCTGGCTCTGCTCCTAATGCCCGCCCACCTCTCCAACAGGAAGAAAACAAGACTATGAAACACACCTGGGCCGCCTCACACCTGCATCGACACGTAAATGATACAAATGCACAAGTCATCAACATTTAGAAAGGTTTTGTTATTTTGCATTTAAAAATTCAGCTCAAGTCTCAGGCATTGCGTTTTGAACCAGGAGAAAACAAGTTTGAAAACACCTGGACTGCCTCATGCCTGCAACTCTTGACCTAAATGACATATAAATGATAATCAACAAATAGAATTCATGTTGGGGCATCTGATTTTCACACAGCGGAAGGAGGAAGTCTGTATTTAAATCTGTAACTCGCTCTCACAAACCCTCGGCACAGCGTTGATATTGACATGCATTCATTTTCAGGCTTTCGTGACAGAATAAGACCAGTTTCACCCCGGCGCAGCCAATCAGACAATCTGAGCGCTGCGTCCAGGTTGAAGAGAAATAAAAATACTTACAAAGTGTGACCGCATTTGGTATGTAGACTAGACCTGTCACGATAACAATATAGATAGTTTATAAACAATAATACTGAAACTAATGTATGCCACTGACTGATTTCTCCCAAAAAACTATGAACAATATGATTAAAAAGAGCAAACTGCAATAAATAAACAGCAGAATTTAACAGTTTAGTAGTTAGTTTGTATGTATAATGAGTAGAGGTACGGTGAGATACAATTTCCATGAGACAAAATAAGACTGGAGCTACGAGAACGAGATGAGATTTTCACATTTTATTTGTTAGAAATAGTGTGATCCAGTTCCCAATTTTATTCTCACAGGTTTTTATTTTATTTTATTTAATATCTTTGCTGTAGCTCTGCTTTTTGTGCCCAGAGCTTCTCAGAAAATGTATCTTGCCAGTACTTCACTTTTTATCCAATCCAAATGTAAAAAACATGAGATCTTTTGAATCCCAAATAATGACTCAGAAGTTCACCCTTCTATAGAACAGAAAAATAAAAGGTTCCCCACTAGTACCCACTATAAATATTGACTCCCAATCATTATTTTTCCATGTAACATAATTATCAGTTATCGTGACAGGACTAATCTAAACCCCAGGTTTCGTTTTAACAAACCATTTTCAGTTTGAACCAGGGAATAAAAAAAGTTCAAATGCTCCTGGACTGTTCCACTCCTGCTCATGAAGACGTGGACAGTAACAACACATGCACAACAAGTCATAGACGCCCTATTTGATATTTTGGATCTAAACCCGAGCTCTGCGTAACACACAACGTCATTTACAATTTTGAACTAGGAATAAAGTTGAAAGACTGTTAAATAGACTTGGAAAGCTTCAACACTGAGTATTACTGTGGAAGAAATAAATCAAATGCACAAGTCGTGAGCTGACTGTAGTCTTAAAGATGAACAATGTAAAAGTAAGAGTAAAGTTCACTTTTGTCTCCATGGAGATTATGATTATTATAGAGTTACTGCTTTGCCTGAAAGGTTCCACAGAATGTTATTAAACAAATGGATCTCCCTGGACAAGTACATGCTGCTCCTTGATTAAGTTCTGGAGAAGAAATACATGTTTCTCAAGGTATATTTGAGCCATAAAAACACCAGTATTTATTTACAAACACCATGTGTAATGTCATACTGTGGAACATCCCAAGCAATCAAAACATCTCCATGGAAACAAACAGGCTGCAGTGTGTCTTAAGTCTGTTCTCTAGCACTTAATCTCCCCGTGCACAATCTGACGAGCTCTTATCTGGTGTTTTCTTGCACTTAACACTTAGGTTTCAAAATACATATGTCGACAAAGTAACAACATTTTCTGAATTCTAAGTCACTTGTGACGAGTCTGATTAATAAGCCATGTTCAACACATGAAGCTGTGGGAGACCTTTTAAACCGGATGCCCTCCCAGTCACCATCAGACACATTATTATGACTGGAGATGGTTTGATAGTGTTTGCCCAGGGACGCAACAGCTTTAAGTGCTTCTGTAAAAAGACTGAACTAGCAACCTTGTGGTCAGAGGGCGAAAGTGAAAGTGCTACTGACTTGTACGGCTGAATCAGGCTGAGCAGTTTGAAGTGTCTGGTTTGTTGAGACTTCTTATACAAATAATGTTGTTCTAATCTCTGTTTGGGAAAGTGAAGCGCTGGTAACTTGTTCATTATCGAGGGTTTCAAATATCGACTCGCTTTGGTGCAAGACACCAAAGAGAAAAAATATTCTTGAAATGTTGTTGCACTTAAAGAGGGAGTATTATGCTAAACTGACTTTTTGGAGTTTCCTACCATGTTATAACGTTTTTCCATAATCAAAAACACACTTGAAGAGGTTTTACGTGTCATCCATGAATGTTTGAGTAATTTAGCGATCTCTCCCGGCGCTTTTCAAACCCTTTTTGTGGTTAACTGTAAGATTCTGTCCAATACTTTGCCCACATATGTCACCCATACTCCCACTTGACAATTCTCCTTAAATGTACAAAAACAGGATACAGAACAATACACTACAACTTCACAAACCTGACGCGTAGGGATGTAACAAGAACAAAACATCGTGATATCGTATCGTCAAAAGTGTCTCAGTAATATCGTGGGCCGTCACAGTATATCGAGTGTCTCTGCTTAAATTCATTGTTTTGGTGCAGCAACAGCTAAAAAACTACAGACCATTATCCTCTGCTCTGTTTCAATCCAGTCCACGTGTTGAAATAAACGTTATGAAGCACTTTTAAATCTTAATTATTTGGATTTTGGATTTTGATGAGAGAAAAGTAGCATACTCAAGTTTATATATTTTTTTTGCCTCCACAAAATTTAGCAATAAATATTGTACCGTGGGATGAATATCGTGAGAATATCATATCGAGAGGGTTGAATATCGTTAGATTTCTACTGATGCGATGTGCAGTAGATTCATTAACGAGATGCAGGCTGATTGTAATGGTGCTCTGAAGGGGGAGTGACTTAGCGCGAGAAGGAAAGGAGGAGAGACTGTGAAACTTACAAAACATGTTAGTTTTTTTTTTTTTTTTATTCAGGTGATGGAAATATTCTGTGTTGGCAATAATGATACTCCCTCTTTAAAACAACGACATGACTGCTCCTTCTCAAAGTGCATTTTTGCTGTAAAGTGCTTCGGCTCAAACATTAGAAGAAGCATGACAGATTCTAGTATTTCTCCATCCACACATTTCAATATTAAACCTTTGTAAATGTGTAAACAAGTGGAATAAGGTGCCATAGTTTTCACACAAAAGCTGCTTTTGAGCCGAGGAACTAAAGGATTCCTTTTTACTGTTGGCCACTTTATTAGGTACACTTGGTCTGAATAGAAATGTTTTAGCAGCATAACTTTTCTGGAGGAGGGTCAGTCACGGCACTGGGCCAGAGCGCAGGTCACATCTGTCTGTGTCACGACCTTTCAGTGTTTTTCTATTTAATAAAACACCTGAATAGATACATGTGTTTAATGCCACACTGTGAAACATTCAAGGCAAGCAATTATATCTCCATGGAGATGAGCAGGTGGCCGTTCTTCCACCAGGAAATTTACATCAACGGGGACAAAATCAGGATTAAAACTTGGGCTAAACCAGGACTAAACCAGAAATAAATCAGGACTAAACCTCAACTCACCAGGACTTAACAGGATCTTAAGTTTTAGATGTTTGGGACTAAACAGCGCCTGGTCCAGATTTCACAGGTGTACCTAATAAAATGGCCAGTGTTTTGAAAATCTCTTATAATTAGCAAACTCCGTATGTTCAGATTCATTTTTTTTTTTTTTCAGAACTCTTGATTATAGTTTGTTTTTTTTTTTTTTTGTCTTTCTGTCTCAAACCAAAGAGATGGCTCCTCCTCCTTTGCAGGTAAAGGTGAACGCTGCGCTTGTTTAGTTTTTATTTTAGTATTTTTAATAGTTCTTTGAGGGGAAAAACAGTAAAAGACTGTACAACAAAATAGAAAAAAAAGTGTTTTTCTTAAATAATTCCATATCTGTTCCTGTGTGTCTTTCCATTGAACTTTCTGTATAGGCAATAATAATAAACATTTTTCAAAACTTAACAGTGTCATGTTTTATTTGGGTGATTGGTTTAGCTTAGATTCCTGAAGTCCCTATATTGTGTCATGAATAGGATCAAAAATATCCAAAATCACACACACAAAATGACACAGAATCCAGAGGCTCATTTTTCGCAGGTGTCGATACTGAAAAAGTTCCATTGACAGAACAGAGCAGAAGTTTTCCTGAATGTTTTCAGAATGATGTAGAGTTGGATCAGAACAAATGTCAGAGCACATAGACTAGTATACACACATGGACCAACATGAACCTACTGCACCACTGACCATTACACACATATAACACACATGGGAATAGAAAAAAGTACTACCATTTAATGTGGAAAATCACAGTATAATCACTAAAGAGTGTTTTTAGTATCATTGTAAAATCTGTATTGACCATCGAGTCTAAGTATCAAAATCGAGTTTGAAATCATGACAACACCAGTAACTACCTATCTTATGCTTTTCACTCTCCTCATCTTATTGTCTGCTTTACTCTCTTCTTTTTCTCATCTTCCTGGTCTCGCCTCGACCTCCTCCAGTGTCCAGGCCCCAGGGTGAAGACACCTCTTCATCTTCACCTAATCGTCCACACCCTTCATCGTAATGTCGTGTGTCGGGGTCTGAGCGCCAAAGACACTTGTTCAATAAAAAGACTTTCTCTTTGTGTGTGCCTGAGTCTCTTCTGGTGAAATAACTGAACACTGATCACAGAGCAGACAGAACCACAGAGCACAGTACCAGAAAAGTTACATAGTGCCACTTTAAATGGAAGGTTAAACTTGTTCAATAGTTTGAAGAATTGATCATGTTGTCAAAAGCACCTCAATGAACTCAGTGATCAAACTGTTATTTTACTAAACTTTATTTTAAAGCAACATAGTGCAACTTTCTGGAGGTGGTGCTTTACACCCATGATTCAATGGAAACCGAAAGATAAAACCACATTTTGGAACATTCTCCATGAAGATATGGATATTTTTTATTCTTTACTGTAGAAGATTATGGTCAAACTTGGCTATAACTACATCTCCATGGAAACAAACAGGAGGCCCTCCTCCAGGTCAAATAAGAGTCAGGTCTGTGGAGATGCAAGTCCACTCACAGAAAGGTTACATGATGGGGCTTTACACAGTCTACAACAATGTGTTGAAAATGTAACAGTTGAAGTGATGATGCAGATTTATTTACTGTGTATTTCCAGGTGAAAGTTCAAACTCGTCCACTTTGTCCTTCCTGAAGATCTATTCATTATCTGTAAGAGAGAGACAGACACACTCAGGTTTGTGTTTGTGCACACAGGTCAGTCCTGTCACTGTCATCAGACCACACACATGCACAGAGCCCTACACACCAAAAGGGGGAGCCAAAGATCACTGTCTGAAGAGTTTGGAAACTGCCCTGGTTGGTCAAGACGTGTCAGTTACACTGATTGACTTTTGCCTCTGGGCTGTGAGTAAAACTGGATTTGAATTTGGATCCACAAACTATAGACTTGATTATTATTGTGTGGCAGTAATCGAGTTGAAAAATATTATTACTTTTTGGGGATGGTGATTGGTAAAACTTTTTTTTTTTTTTAATCATCCACTTGACAGAATTCAAATTTCTTTTGTGCCTCATTCTGATTAGAGACTAGAACCTGTTTGTCTTTTATGAACATGTCTGTAATTCTGGAGCTGGACACGTGGAACAACACTGACAAAAAACTCTTGTGAACTTTTAGACACGTTTTATGCTGTTTCCTCAAAAACATGTCTGGAGTTGTGTTTTTTTCATTCACACATGCTCAAAATGCTCTGTTCCACCTGCTGATGTCATGAAGTGGGAGTTAAAAGGAGCTGTCAGGTGAATGCATCATATTAATAATGAGTGGTGGAAAGAGTACTGCTTATTTATCCTCAAGTAAAAATGACATGACTAAAAATGTACTCAAAGTACTGCTTCCAGAATTATACTTAGGTAAAAAATTAAAAACATAGCAACATTTAGATTAGTATTCATATTTGATATGAATTTGACAGTTTGAAGCTGAATTGAGTTGAATTCTCTGAGCTCTGTCCAATCAGAGCAGGCGATGCTGAGCTGTGATGTGTTTGTGTGTTTGGAAAGGAGCAGAGACGACAGTGAGACACACGTGGATCGGGACAGTTAAGACTTGTGCTGTACACAATAAAAGTAACTCATTACATTGAAATGTGGAGAATTATACTCAAGTACAAGTACAGGTGTAAAAAAGTGCAGTACCTCCTGTTGATAAGTGAGAGCTTTGTTCCTCACCTTTGCCCTCCACCTGGAAGTCCTCAGGCAGCAGCTTGTCCTGGCGGCTGCCCAGGCTGAAGGCGAGGAAGGAGAGGATCAGAGAGTCCATGATGGAGATGATGGCGAGGATGTACGCCCAGCGCACCGTGCAGTTCCCCAGAGTGTATTTATCTGTGCGCTGACCGCACATGCGCTTCACCTCCTCCGAGTCCCAACCGTCAGGGTAGATCATGCAGCCAATCACCATGCACGTGCCTGGGGTCAGGGGTCGGGGGGGTCACAGGGTCAGAGAAGAGAGGAGGAGGTGAGGGGGTAGGAGAGGAGGAGGAGGTGAGGGGGTAGGAGAAGAGGAGGAGGTGAGGGGTAGGAGAGGAGGAGGAGGTAGAGGAGGAGGAGGGAGGAGGTGAGGAGGAGGGGTAGAGAGAGAGGAGGTGAGGGGTGAGGAGGAGGAGGTGAGGGGTGAGGAGGAGGAGGGGGTAGGAGAGAGGAGGTGAGGGGTAGGAGAGGAGGAGGAGGTGAGAGGAGTGAGGGTAGGAGAGGAGGTTAGGACCCTGTTTGTCACTATATAAGCAGCTTTAAAACATCCTATTTTCTTCCGCTCAGACTCAAACTGTCACTTTCTCTATGAATAAATCCTAATGAGATCATTAAACACTTGTGACCTTTTGGAAGGATGAAGAACACACCTCCATGTGCCCTTCAGAGGTCACATGTTTGGCACAGAGTTAGGTTATGTGTCCATTTTACGCACTAAGGATGTGTATAAAAACACATCATGGACATCCCTCATGTGTGTAAAAGCAGGTGTACATCTGTGCTGTTTTTTTACAGGAGGTGTGTACAAGTGTGTACATGTGTGTACAAGTGTGTACAGGTGTGTACAAGTGTGTACAGGTGTGTGTGTGTACAGGTGTGTACAGGTGTGTACAGGTGTGTACAAGTGTGTACATGTGTGTACAGGTGTGTACAGGTGTGTACAAGTGTGTACAAGTGTGTACAAGTGTGTGTGTGTGTGTGTACAAGTGTGTACAAGGTGTGTGTGTGTACAGGTGTGTACAGTGTGTACAGTGTGTACAGTGTGTACAGTGTGTACGGTGTGTACAGGTGTGTACGTGTACGGTGTGTACAGGTGTGTACAGGTGTGTACAGGTGTGTACAAGTGTGTACAGGTGTGTACAGGTGTGTACATGTGTGTACAGGTGTGTACAGGTGTGTACAAGTGTGTACAGGTGTGTGTGTGTACAGTGTGTACATGTGTGTACAGGTGTGTACAAGTGTGTACAGTGTGTACAGTGTGTACAGTGTACATGTGTGTACAGGTGTGTACAGTGTGTACTGTGTGTACAGGTGTGTACAGTGTGTACAGGTGTGTACGTGTGTACATGTGTGTACAGGTGTGTACGGTGTGTACAGGTGTGTACAGGTGTGTACAGGTGTGTACAGGTGTGTACAGGTGTGTACAGGTGTGTACAGTGTGTACAGGTGTGTACAGGTGTGTACGGTGTGTACAGGTGTGTACAGGTGTGTACAGGTGTGTACAGGTGTGTACAGGTGTGTACATGGTGTGTACAGGTGTGTACAGGTGTGTACAGTGTGTGTACAGTGTGTGTACAGGTGTGTACAGGTGTGTACAGGTGTGTACAGGTGTGTACAGGTGTGTGCGTGTGTCTCACTGGAGGCGAGTTGCATCCACGCGCAGATCTTGTACACACTTCCCGCGTTGCAGAAGAAGAAGAGACTGAAGCACACGATGCTGCCCACCACCAGCAGCATGGAGATGCCCACGAAGAACATGGCGGTCTTAAACGCGCCGGACGGAATGGAGCCGAAGTCCAGCGCGCTCCCTTTGCACGTGAGCTCCGAGGTGAGCGCGTTCCCGATGCAGTAGTGGAAAAGGCCGAAGTATCCGGCCTGAGGCGTGTTCACGCTGTCCCCGATCCAGTACGGCTGAATGAACACCACCACCGTGATGACGGCGAATGTGATGGTGAACACCGTCCACAGCACGCCCATGGCGCGCGCGTTACGCACGTAGTTGGTGTGGTAGATTTTGGCCGCCTCCTGAGCCGGGAGCATAGCTCTGCTTCTCTGGGTTTAGAGCTATTATGAAAAAGTTCCACAAGATCAAAGTATCAATACAAGTTTTAGGGAAATGAAGCTCCTCAAAATCAGGCCTTAAACCCAGCGCCCTTTACGCACTGATGGAGTTGTCCAAAAGGAATTAGATCCACACCAAGTGTCAGCGGTCCAGGGGTCTTCATCCCCTCAGAGCTGCAGCCTCAGTCCCGCTGAAGGTCCCTCTGTCCTGGCCTCCTTGTGTGTGTCTCTGTGTGCCTCTCTCCCCAGGGAGACTCGGACTCTGCGCTCACACTCTGAATGATTCATGGTCATCAGATCCTCCAGTGAAAGCTCCTCCAGAGAACAGCTGCTCTGCGCTTTCACCCGATGGTGCAGGTCACTCTCCCCTGAGCCCAAGTATCAAACAACACTGTCAATATTCTGACTTTACACACTCCTAGACATGACACTAAAACATCTGGGATATTTAGCTGACGACTCAAGTAACTAAACTATGCTCTCAGAAAAATGGGCCTTCTTCAAAATTATATCAGGTTGAAGGATTTACTCCAGTTTCATTAGTTCTATATTCCCCGAGCGCTGATTGTCTCCTTAAACTTTACCTTAAAACGTAACACTAGATGGCGCACTTGAGTCAGAGTTAGAGTTTGCTTCAGTGTCATTTCTTCTTTGAATGAGTCACTTACACAACTCCCTCTGTGTTCATCATTTCACTTCATGTCATTTCATGTCATACAGGCAGACTCAAGTCATTCATTAAACACTCCAGACACCTGCTCTGCTCCTGCCTGCTCCTGTCTGCTCCTGTCTGCTCCTGTCTGTTCATTTCCACACACGTGAGCAGCATGTTTTTGGCAGGAGCCACACTTTGTGAGCAGATCTGCTCCATGTTGGTGTTCAGTGTGTGGAGACTTTTCTTGGGCCTTGTTCAGTGTTGGTGAGAGACGTTCTCCCTGTGGCTGCTCTCACCTCACTGTGGCTGCAGTGGGATTAGACCAGTGTTTTTTATGCTACAAAGTGATTCAAGTCAGTAGAACATGCAGAGGTCAGACACACACAAGCTGAAATGAGAAGGCAGTGACAGTGGAATCCTCAATCTCAATACATTTCACAAACACATGATTGAGGATCAACATAAAGTAATAATAATAATAATAATAATAATAATAATAATAATAATAATAATAATATTATTATTATTATTATTATTATTATTATTATTATTATTATTATTAGCAGCAGCAGCAGCATCAGTGTCCATTTATAAATAATAATTCAAACTAAAACGAAAAGGAATGAATGTGAAGGTCAGACACTCAAAGAAGAAAAAAAAAAGCATGAAAGGAGCGCTGACGATGGACATGAGGAGATGTGCAGCAGCCTCTGACCCTCTCCACACAAAAGAACAGGACGAGGAGAGAGAGACTGAGCATGAGGGCACACAGAGAAAGAGAGGGTGAAAGATGAGGAGAGGGGGAGGGAGAAGGAGGATGAGAAATCACCACCAACACACACACACACACATTCATACTATTGTAGTAAAAGTCCTCATCCTGTTGTCATTGTGTTTCTTGCGGCTCCTTCAGATCTGATTTAGTGATTCATTTTCATGTTTTTTATTCTAATTCTGCTCCTCTTTTCAGTCGGACTAAGGGGAATAAGGACAGAAATGAGCTTTGGCTACAGTCCTGCATATTTACAATTACATGTTTTTCTTTTGCAGTATTTTCAACTTTAATAAATAAATACAAATACAAATGAAGACACAGGCACTAAGATATGATGTACTCATGATGAACATGTGCTGTTTTGCCTGAAATGTCCCACAATAATTAAATCTTTATTTATTTCATTGCAGTCATTTTTGTTGCTAGAAAATACTTCAGGTCATTGTTCGAATTACTATTATAGCCTGACAGAAGGTTCAGTCCGTATGAAATCAGCCGCCCTCCCCTATGAGCCATCTCAGATTTGACTGAAAAAAATTCAAAAAATTTCTAAAATCACCAAATGAAAAAATCTCAAATTTTAGTTCAATCTCTTTAGTCGTTCCTGAGTTATGGCCAGTTGAAATTTTGGGGTCATGTTCACTTTTTCGTAAGCCTTAATTTATAAACATGTTTGAGAGACCAGAACTTCATCAAAAATAGAGCTAGGAAGCTGAACATTTGTATTATTGTAGATTCTTGGTCATAGATTATGAATCTGTTGTCACATCTCTGTCAAATCTCACATTTGGTTGCCATTCAATTTTTTTTTCCAATTTTTGAGGTCGAAACTCCAAGCAGATATTTACAATCTAATTGTTGAACCTGAATATTTGAGAGAATGACCATTTCTGACAACAATCTCACACTTTTCTGAGCTTTTATGTGGATGGTGTAGAGTCCCAAATATGATCACAGACCAAATGTGATCTTTTTGGCCCCTTCTTTGGAGCCTCGGTTCCTCATGTGGCACAGTCAGATGCTGATCAAATTTTTACCAGAGAAACTTTGGCATAATCTGATTATTTTAAAGTAATAAAAACATCTACTGTTAACTTTCTTTTTTGATGGAGCTTAGGTTCTTTTCCACCTGCAGAAAGATTCAATTATCTTTAATAGACTTAAACACTATTTACTTGTTATAAAGGAAAACAGTTGGAGATTATTTGTGGTACATTGTTTGAAAAAGTGTCATTAATCCTTTGAGAAAATTCAACTATTAAGTCTGTACAAAATTTAAAATTTGAGATTCTTTCATTTGGTGATTTTAGAAATTTTTGAATTTTTTTCAGTCAAATCTGAGATGGCATAGAAGAGATTCCTTGAAAACTGCTGATTTCATACAGACTGACCCAGAAGCGAGGCTGCCAATCTGCACACACACGCACGCACACACACACGCACACACACACACACACGCACGACACACACACACGCACACACACACACACACACACACACACACACACACACACACACACACACACACACACACACACACACACACGCACACACACACACACACACACACACACACACACACACACACACACGCACACACACACACACACACACACACACGCACACACACACACACACACACACACACACACACACACACACACACACACACACACGCACACACACACACACACACACACACACACACACACGCACACACACACACACACACACACACACACACACACACACACACACACACACACACACACACACACACACACACACACACACACACACACACACACACACACACACACACGCACACACACACACACACACACACACACACACACACACACACACACACACACACACACACACACGCACACACACACACACACACACACACACACACACACACACACCACACACACACACACACACACACACACACACACACACACACACGCACACACACAGACACACACACACACACACACACACACACACACACGCACACACACACGACACACACGCACACACACACACACACACACACACAGGGTGAATACAAAACCTGGTCAACCCTTTGGGTTGTCCATGAACTTCATGTTTAAACTCAGTGAGTGAGTTTACAGCACATCAGTGTCCTGGTTAGAATGGACTTTTTTGAGTGTCCCGGTTTGGTCATGGTGCATGTACACACAGTATCCCTGTTTCAGTATCCTGGATAAGACAGTATCCCAGTTATTAAAAACCGGGATACTGTAGCTGGTATATTCCGATAGTAAGCGGGATATTGTGTCATGTTTTATTTATTTATTTGAGACAGGGACAGTGCACAATTTTAGCCTTAACAGGAGAGATGCATTGTACCTGGTTGTAGCATCGGTGCTCATTTCCACCTGTGGTCTCTGGGCAGATTCATTGATTGATTGTATTTAACTGACCTTGACTATCAACTGTTCTTCCTGGAGACCTGTGTAGCATGTTTTGCATATATATATATATATATATATATATATATATATATATATATATATATATATATATATATATATATATATATATATATATATATATATATTATATATATAGCCCTCTGGAGGTGGCAAAACAGGCCAACGGTGCAAGAAACTCACCTAAAGCCAGTCCCCCTCCGCCCTCTGCATCACAGGTAAACTCCCATCCCACACACACACTCACACACAGGACACAGTGCTGTTCAAACTTTAACTGGCTTTCTTTATATCAGCCACAAAACAGTTATGTATGTGTTGGTAAATCATTTAAAGTTTTATTTTTTTCCTTGATGTTAACTTTTGGTGCTCTAGTTGCATTGTGTAACTTTTTCTGGTGAGTTCTGTCAATGCTTTTGGAGATGTTATTGCTTTATTGGAATGTTTCACAGTTTGGTATTACACCTTTTCTATCTTCATGGAGACCAAACCGGACCAAGTTACAGGTCAGGTCTGTGGAGAGGCAAACCCCGCTCACAGTCACAATGCCTGTTTTCATTTTTGAGCTACAAAACTACCTGTAGTTTAATAAATGTAAGGTAGAGCTGATTAATGTCACACTGTGGAACATTTGAGGCAAAGCAATAACATATCTATAGAAACAAGCAGGTGACCAACCCCAACCAAAACGTAACATAGTGCACCTTTAAGTTATACAAATGAAAACAAAGTATTTGTGTTCTTTTACAGATCCAAGAAACGTCGATGTCGTCGGACTATTTGACAGACACCGACGAGGACGCGATGGCAGAACAAATTGAAGCCATGTTGGACGGCCGTGTTAGTATGGGCACTGGTAATGAAGTTCCACCAACATCTCCTGTGGACTTCCAGATGCCATCAGCGTTGCAACACCAAATTGCTGAATACTACAGGGCTCAGAATTCAACTGAAAATTCTGCCCTGGAAAACACCACACGGTCCCCAGTCTCCCCGGTGATATCAGGCCCATCTTCACAAGTTGGACCTGCCCCAAGGAGAAACTTTTATGCTCCTTGGAACAGTCCACCGTACTCCAGACCAGCTG